TAGGCATCAGCCCCTGCACCAAAAGGTTGCTGGTTTGATTCCTGGTCCGGGCACATGCCCAGGTTGTGGGCTCGAATTCCCATGTGGGTGTGAAGGATGCAGCCAATTGATATTTATCTCTCTCTAAAAGTCCATTAAAATTTTTTTTAAAACACATATTTTTATTGATTTCAGAGAGGAAGGGATATATAGAGAGAAAGGCAGAAACATCAATGATGAGAGAGACACCTCAATTGGTTGTCTCCTGCAGGCACTGCAACCAGGGCCAGGGATCAAGCCTGCAACTGAGGCACGTGCCCTTGACTGGAACCGAACCTGGGACCCTTCAGCCTGCAGTCCAACGCTCTATCCGCTGAGCCAAACCAGCTAGGGCAAAAAAATATATTTTCTTAGAGCGGGGGGGAGGCAACTGTCCCCCTCCTCGCTTAAATGTCTAAATAAATCTCCTCCGGAGTCCGGATAGCGCCTTGCACATCTTGGCTTTTATGACAAGTCTCCAGCTCTGGACTTATCTCCAAGCCCTGGGGCTCATTTCCTCTGGAATGCTTAAAGATCCTGCGTGGTGCCTGCTGGCCTGATGAGGAAGCTACTCCAGGCTTCCTGGCACCTTGGGGCTTAGCCTAGGAACTTTGTTCAAACTGTAATCACTTGGGCCCCTCAGAAAGAGATAAGAGTTTTACTATTTTTTTGAATCGGAGCAATTACCTGTACAAATGACTCCAGACTGAATCTCCTGATATGTGAGCAGTCTCAAGGAGCTAAGGCTTTCTCCCAGGACCCAGAGAAGTCTGATTTCCCCACTGTATCTCTCAGTCTCTGATTGTCTCTCTGCCACTTTTGATGGCTCGGACTTGGCCTGGGGTTGGCAAACAGGAGGAGGGTAAAGGTAAGAGCATACCTGGAGCTGGACTCTGAAACCACAAGCCACTTCACTTTGGCTCGAAAGTCAACATCCCGAAGGTAGACCTCACCTGGAGTTCTCATCCCTGCCAGGCTGGGGCTGAAAGAGTGGGAACCCAGGACAGGGAGGAGACAGTCGACTCGTTCCCTTTCTGTAGATGAGCCTGGTCTGACCTCTGACCATGGGAAGGGACATGGATTGTCTACAACAGATTAGAGGACGAGAAGGGGCCAGGGATCATGTCTAGGGGAGGAGGGGAGGACCAGTGTCGCTGACCCTGAGACAGGGCTGGGGCCCAGAGCTCCGAGGCTGCAGGTGTTAGCTTGTCCTAAGGGAGGGCATCCCAAGAGCTGGAGTGGCAAGTGCAGCGGGAGAGGAGAGCCCCTTGTATTGGAAACATGCAAAGGAAGCCAGAACTCCCCAAGCAGGACCCCTGCGGAAGCAGGTCCTGAATGCTGACACCACAAGCGCAGGAAAGTCGCCTCCCTCTCTGGGCTTCAGGACTTCAGCTACAATATTAAGGAGGATAAGAACACCAGCCCTGTAGCCTTGTCATGAGGATTAAACTAGACAATATAAGTAAACACCGGGGCGGGGCGCTGGCACCAAAGGGCTTCGGAAGGGCTAGGTTAAAACTTGACTCTGCTCTTTCCTTGTTGTGTGACCTTGGGCAAGTTATTTAACATGATTTACTCACCTGTAAAATGAGGGTTATTTAAGGATCAGAGCATTGGATTGTTATGAAGATTCAACAAGCTAATTCATGTAAAGCACTTAGAACAATGCCAGGCCCATAGAAAATGTTCACTACATGCTGGCAATTGATATCATTACAATTATTACTAATTATTCCAATGACTCTTCCCTGCATCACCCCCAAATTGAGAAACTGAGGCTCAGAAACTTCAATAATGACAAGGGCACCTACTATGTGTCAGGCCTGTTCCAAGCACTTCACAATTCTTAATCCATTTATAACCTCCTAAATCCAGTTGTAACCTTATAATAACCTCGTCATTATTCCTATCTGACAGGGAGGCCATGAGGCACAAAGAGATTAAGTGACTTGCCCAATTCCTGGAAGTCTATGGGCCCTCTGGACCCAGGAGGCCCAATCTGGCTCCAGCAATCAAAGGGTTACTTTGTTGGGTGGAGGGTCACAACCAGGAACCAATTTACCACCAACTGCTCTGGCTCTAATCCAGGGGGCAAGGGTGGGCCAAGAGGTAAGACTAGGAGGTTCTTTTCTGCCAGGGGTCAAAGCTCAGAGCTCTGAGACTTCCCCCAGAAAAGGGGGTCAAGGCAGAAGCGATTACCATGGATTCCCAGAGAGCTGCCCAAGCCCCCTATTCCCCACCCTCCCAGGGCAAACCACCCTGGCAGTCTCCAGAAATGAGCAGGCTCTACCTCTACCTCTACCTGCCTGGGGGACCCTGGGCAACTTACAGTCCTTTTCAATGAGCTGAGCCTATTCATGACACAGCATGCAGAGCCCAGAGAGGGGCTGTGACCTCCCTACGTCACACAGCTAAGAGGCAGAAGGCCTGGAATCAAATGTGAGTGGGTCTGACACCCCTTCTCTCCTGCTTGTCCCACTGTTCCGCAGTCTTCGAAGAGGAGGAAGTTTCTGTTAGCATTACTGTTACTGCAATGCCTGCCCTCCTGAGGGTGTTTGCGGACAGTCTGGGGGAGGCATAAATTCCCTTATACATAACTCTCCAAGCAATTTGTCAATTTTTGAGGACAGACATGGAACTTTAAAATGGTGGCTGGCATCTGGGCCTAGGAGTCAGATGGACATGGGTTCAACCTGTTTTCTCAGGTGTTACCAGTGTAGGCTTCCAGGGTAATTTCTGAAAACCTCCGTTTTCTCCTCTGGACGGTGGGCTAAATACACATGCCTCAGAGGGCTATTGGGAGAATTCAATGAGATTAGGAATGTTACGTGCTTAGCACAGTGCCTGGAACATAGTACATTAAAGAAATGAAAGCTGTTGTTACTATTATTTGTCTTTCACCAGCACTTATCATGGGGTTGGGCATCTAGTAGATCCTTAATACCTGTTTTTAGAATAATATAGATTCTTCCCAAACCTGGGGCCTCTTGAGTTCAGCGTCTACGATGTTCTCCTAGAGCACAGGCACCCAAGCAGCACCACTTGCTCCCGCAGAGTTCCAGCCGGAAACCACTGCAGGAGTGAGGCTTCCAGTTCTAGGAGAGGAATGGCTATGTGTCCCGGGCCCCTTGTCCCTTTGCTTCCTTGCAACATCACACCAAAATGCTGGCACTTGCTCTGAGGCGATGTCAGGTGAAAAGCACAGCCAGGTTCTCCTATGTGTATGAGCAGGAAGGTGACTGGGGTTGGATGCCAGGGACAAACTGGGCCCAAAAAGAAGGCTACTGGGTGGTGATACGCAGGGATAAGGGAAGAGGCACAGTGTCCCTTATCTAATCTTAAGGGTCGAGACTCATGAAACTCACATTCTGATGAATTGAGATGAATGCTAAGTAAATAAACAAACAAATGGCTGTGCAATATGTCAGGACCACATCACTAGAAGGAATGGTGATTGTTACAGCGCCGTTGAAAGGGATAAATGGAGTCCCAGTACCCGACTAGGAGCAAGAGCCAGAATTCCAACTGGGGACCGCACGGCTTCAAGGCCACAGTCCTTCAGCTCCTGGGAGCTGCGAGGCACCCCTTCCAGTTCCTGGTACCCTTCCTTGAGGGTACCAGAGACCCATTCACTCATTGTTGATTCCACGAAGCTTTATTGAGCACTTACTACAAGCCAGGAACTGTTCTGGATGCTGAAGCTGTAACAGTGATGTGGACAGGCATGATGTGAGGCTAGGAAGACTGGTACTAACTAAACACACACACCGAGTTAGTGCAATGTAGCCACGATTGCTATGAGAGCTACAGGTAAGGAGCAGGTGTGATGAACTACTCTGGGAGGCATTCTAAACCTGGTCTCCCTGAGAAGGTGACATTTAACTTGAGACCTAAAGTCTCAAGAGCTTATCAGGCAATGAGTGAGGGAACAGATTCCCAGGTGGAGGGAGCAGCATGTGCAAAGACTGAAAAGCAGCAGAGGCGCCTGGCACATCGGAGGAACTGAGAGGCCAGTGTGGGTGGAACTGAGCTGGAGGGAGAACAGGATGTGGTGCAAGACAAGGCTGTGAGATCCACAGGGCCAGACCAACCGCGCCTTCCCAGCCGTGTGAAGAGCAAGCGAAGGGTTCTGGGCACAGCTTGGCCTCCAATCCCCAAGCTTTCACCTGCTCATCTGGGGCAAACCACCCAGAGTGACTCCCACCCATGGCTTTCCCTCCAGTCCAGAATTTTCTCAACTATTACAAGTGTCTCTTGTCATCGCATCCCCAGAACCTTGGCTCCTGGGACCAAATCCTGGCTCTCCCAGGAAGTTTTGACAAGGTTTCAGGAGCCCCGGTCATGCTGGAATATTTACAAAGTGGATAAGCGGGTGTTATCTCCATTTTACAGGTAAGGAAACGGAGGCTGAGAGATAAAGTACACACAGCTATTCTCCCTTTTTTAAAAAAAAAAAAAAAAAAGAGGTATATGTTTCTCTTTTTTTAAATATATTTTATTGATTTTTTACAGAGAGGAAGGGAGAGGGATAGAGAGTTAGAAACATCGATGAGAGAGAAACATCGATCAGCTGCCTCCTGCACACTCCCTACTGGGGATGTGCCCGCAGCCAAGGTACATGCCCTTGATCAGAATCGAACCTGGGACCCTTCAGTCCGACGGCTGACGCTCCATCCACTGAGCCAAACCAGTTAGGGCTCCTCCCTTTTTTTAATACCTCATTTCTCCCCAGTATGTGGAATTGCGAGCTACGAGGTTCTGGCTGTTAGGATTCTGATTCTAACATCCTCTGGCATGTGAGAGAGGATGCTAAGGTTCAGGGGAAGGGGGAGATGTCGGGGCTTCTGAATTCCAAGATTCTAAGCCTTGGCACTCCAGTAAACTGGGTTCCTGGTCCGTGCCAGCTAATGCAAGTCTGGAGTCCCAGGCACCACCCATGAGCGCCTCCCTCTCGCGTCTGGTCTCCCGTGTCCCACCTTGCGGACCAGCTGGAGGACCGGTTCCTGGCGCCCCCTCTCCATGGCCAAGGGACTGGCACCGGAGGCCTTGGGAGCAGGGGGGCGGGAGAAGGAACACAGGGATAGTCTGGGGTGACCTAACTCCCCCCCAGGGCAACGGGCTGGGGCAGAGGCGGTGTCGGGAGAAGGCGGGAAGCTGCAGGTCCCGCCCCAGAGGAGACTTCCTAGTGGGCGGATACCCCGGTGAGTCGCAGCTGCGGCGGCGGGGGACCCCGGCGCCATGGCGGGCAGGCGGGACGCCATCCTGGATGCGCTGGAGGAGCTGACCGCTGATGAGCTCAAGAAGTTCAAGATGAAGCTGCTCTCCGTGCCCCTGCGCGACGGCTACGGGCGCATCCCGCGGGGGGCACTGCTGCCCATGGACGCCGTGGACCTGACCGACAAGCTCGTCAGCTGCTACCTGGAGGCCTACGCCGCCCAGCTCACGGCCCAGGTGCTGCGCGACATGGGCATGCAGGACACCGCGGAGCGGCTGCAGGCCCCGGCCCGGGCCCCGGGTGAGGAGCCCTCCGCTCTCGGAGCCCCTCGCCTAACCCAACCCCCAGCCGAGCATTTGCCCCTGGGGCTCTTTCGCTTCCTGTTTCTCCTGCCCCCGAATAAAGCTCTTCCTGCTGGGGAGGGAGGCTTCCCGCGCTCGGTCCAGACCCCGCGAGCCTGGAGACACCGTGGGAAGGAAGAGGAAGGACCCCTTATGCGGTCTCTTTCCTTACAGGCTCTGGACCCGCGCCAGCAGGGATCCAGGCCTCTCCTCCCCAGGTGCCAGCCATACCAGGTGAGGCCTTCACACCCAAACTCACCTTCCTGGGCACCTCACCAGCCTCACCAACCACAGCCCTGCACAGCCTATCTGCCACCAGAACACTCGCATTGGGAGAGAGCAAGGTTGGGCCAGCCCTCCCACCAGCCCACCTGCTCACACACCTTGGGCGGAGCCTCGCTGGGGAGATGTTACACTCATCGCACTGTGTCTGGAGCCCCACCCCGTTAGGGCGCATTTAGAGCCAATCTGAAGCAAGCAGGGTTCCGAGGAACAGGCCCCAGTCCCCACCCAGGGTGCCTGCTCATCTGCTTTCCCCCTCTTTCCCGCAGCCCCGCACTTTGTGGACCGGCACCGGGAGGCCCTCATTCAGCGGGTCACAGACGTGAACGGCGTGCTGGATGCTCTGTACGGGAGCATCCTGAGGGAGGAGCAGTACCAGGCAGTGCGGGCAGAGGCCACCAATCCAGACAAGATGCGGAAGCTCTTCGGCTATGCTCCAGCCTGGAACCGGGCCTGCAAAGATCGGCTCCTTCAGGCCTTGAGGGACACCCAACCCTACTTGGTGGACGACCTGGAAAGGAGCTGAGGCAGCAGCTGGAACTACCAGGGGTTGGACGTGCAGAATGAGTGATTTTTTAAATAAAAAGTCCGCTTGTACTTGTGTGGGTTTTCCTGCTTCCAACCTGGCCGGCCGCACATGCAGAGCTCAGCTACACAGCTCAGTGCTGCGGAGGCTCAGGGGCAGCTCGCTGCCTTTCAGGGGTGGGGCAGCAGGCTCCCCAAACTGTCACCCTTCCTGCCTGTCACCATGGCGAATATTCCTCATTCGCCAGTTAGTGCTCCTCCAGGGCTATGCCAGAGGGTCCGCCCTTGAGACTCTAGCTAGGCCTGTAGTGTAGGTTAGAGAGGCGTGTACAAAGGGTCTGGGCGGTGGGAGCCAGGTGTGCCAGAAGGCATTGAACTTAGGGCACTCTGCTAGCGGGCAGAGCTTCTCTTTTGCCTTTTCCAAGGGAAAGAGTAATTGTACAATTAGAGCAATTTCCAGGGGGAGACAGTAGCATCTAAACATGGAAGACCACAGCTACCAAATAAAATTCTAGGGTTCCTTCTGGCACTGACAGCAGCAGGCTAAATTACTCCCTTTGCTCCCTGCCACCCCCTGGAGGGAGGCGTTATAGGTTACACTATGCCCAGAAAACATGCCAATCACAAAAGCAAAACTTTATGAATTCTGGTAGATATTCTTCTTGTGATGGAATTAAAGGAAATATGAGTACATACAGTTGACCCTTGAACATGGGGGTTAGGGGTGCTGGCTTCCTATGAAGTCTTGAGTCCACATATAAAACTAGTCAGCCCTCACAAAATAAGCAAAATAGATTCATAGTCTGACAGCTGTCAAAGGGAGGGGAACTGCGGGGCTGAGTGAAAAAGTGAAGAGATTAAGCCCCCCAAAAAACAAATACAAAAAAGCACATCAGCCCTGGCCAGTTTGGCTACAGGTTGAGGGTCAGCCCTCGGACCAAAGGGTCTCGAGTTCAAATCCGGTCAAGAGCAGGTATCTTGGTTGCAGGTTCGCTCCCTGCCCCTGGTTGGGGCACTTACAGGAGGCAACCAGTAGATGTGTCTCTCACATCGATGCTTCTCTCTCTCTGTCTCTCCCCCTCCTCCCTCCCTCCCTTTCACGCTCTCTTTAAAAAAAAAAAAAAAATCAGTGGAAAAAACATCCTGGGATGAGGATTAAAAAAAAAAAAAAAAAAAAATCTGAGGAAACCAAGATGGCGGCATAGGTTAACGCCGGAGATTGCTGCCTTGAACAACCACTTCAAAAAACAACTAAACGACGGAACGGACATCATCCAGAACCACAGGAAGGCTGGCTGAGTGGAAATTCTACAACTAGGAGGAAAGAGAATATCATACCCAGACTCAGAGGAGGCACAGTGCTGAAGTGAAATACTCAGGTGCGGAGTGCACGCGGGGCGGGCTGGAGGCGGAGGGCGCAGTTGTTGTTTTCAATCAGGAGGGAGTTTCAGACTCTGAGTTCCAGATACGGGTGAGTCTCTAGGGACCCAGACTCAAACGAGAGAAGCGGGACTGTCTGGCTTCGGTCGGAACTCGAATGCAGCTTTCTCTCTGAGGTTTGCAGCGGTTGCTGGGACTCTGTGAGGCAGAGCCCCTAGGGACGGAACTGAGAGCAGCCATAACTGCTCGCTCCCGCCCACCCTGTTTGATCCAGTGCGACCCACCCCGCCCAAGCCCTGCGCAGAGCCATTTGCCAGATAGCCTCAGGCAAATGCTAGATTAGGACCCCCCTAGAGATCCAGCACAGAAGCCCTCCCACTGCAGACACAGGGGACTCTCATAGCCAGTTAGCCTGGAGGTCAAATCACCCCCGGTATTGCCGACGACAATCAAGGCTTAACTACAAGACTGCGCACAAAGACCACTAGGGGGTGCACCAAGAAAGCATAAAAAATGCGGAGACAAAGAAACAGGACAAAACTGTCAATGGAGGATATTGAATTCAGAACCACACTTTTAAGGTCTCTTAAGAACTGTCTAGAAGCCATCGATAAATGTAGTGAGATCCTCAAGAAATCTAATGAGACCCTCGATGTTATGATAAAGAACCAACTAGAAATTAAGCATACACGGACTGAAATAACGAATATTATACAGGTTCCCAACAGCAGACCAGAGGAGCGCAAGAATCAAGGCAAAGATTTGAAATGCGAAGAAGCAAAAAACACCCAACCAGAAAAGCAAAATGAAAAAAGAATCCGAAAATACGAAGATAGTGTAAGGAGCCTCTGGGACAGCTTCAGGCATACCAACATCAGAATTATAGGGGTGCCAGAAGATGAGAGAGAGCAAGATATTGAAAACCTATTTGAAGAAATAATGACAGAAAACTTCCCCCACCTGGTGAAAGAAATAGACTTACAGGTCCAGGAAGCGCAGAGAACCCCAAACAAAAGGAATCCAAAGAGGACCACACCAAGACACATCATAATTAAAATGCCAAGAGCAAAAGACAAAGAGAGAAACTTAAAAGCAGCAAGAGAAAGAAACTCAGTTACCTACAAGGGAATACCCATACGACTGTCAGCTGATTTCTCAACAGAAACTTTGCAGGCCAGAAGGGAATGGCAAGAAATATTCAAAGTGATGAATACCAAGAACCTACAACCAAGATTACTTTATCCAGCAAAGCTATCATTCAGAACTGAAGGTCAGATAAAGAGCTTCACAGATAAGGAAAAGCTAAAGGAGTTCATCACCACCAAACCAGTATTATATGAAATGCTGAAAGGTATCCTTTAAGAAGAGGAAGAAGAAGAAAAAGGTAAAGATACAAATTATGAACAACAAATACACATCTATCAACAAGTGAATCTAAGAATCAAGTGAATAAATAATCTGATGAACAGAATGAACTGGTGATTATAATAGAATCAGGGACATAGAAAGGGAATGGACTGACTATTCTTGGGGGGGAAAGGGGTGTGGGAGATGCAGAAAGAGACTGGACAAAAATCGTGCACCTATGGATGAGGACAGTGGGTGGGGAGTGAGGGCGGAGGGTGGGGTGGGAACTGGGAGGAGGGGAGTTATGGTGGGAAAAAAGAGGAACAAATGTAATAATCTGAACAATAAAGATTTAATTTAAAAAAAAACAAACATCTGACACAGAAAACAGTATGGTGATAACCACAGGGGAAAGGGGTGAGGGGGTAGAAGAGGGTCCAGGGGGATGAATGGTGATGGAAAGAGATTTGACTTGGGCTGGTAAACACACAATATACAGATGATACATCACCAAACTACACTGAAACCTATATAATTTTATTACCCAACTAGTGACCCGGTGCACGGATTCATGCACATGGAAAGGAAATTAATTAGGTGGCCAGCAGGGCGGAACTGGGCGAGACTGGCTGGACACATCCTGGAGCCAACCTCCCACAGTCCCTCCCCGGCGTCTGCGGAGTGAGTGGGGGTCCCTACAGCAGGTGGGGGTCCCTTGGCCTGGCCTGCAGGAATCAGGCCAAAACTGGCTCTCTGACATCTCCCAAGGGGTCCTGGAGTGCGAGAGGGCACTCTGCAAATTTGCTGTCATAGTACAGGGTGTACAGGATGTGGAATGCAAACACAAGTGTGCAGTAAACCAGATTCTGGGCCGACAATGCCCCAGCAACAAACCCACAGCTGAAGGTGGAATCATGTGGCCCCTTGAGGAATCGGATTCCCTCCTCTCTCGTTTTAGGGTGCATCACCTGAAAACCACTGCTGCCAAGTCAGTGCAGCTCGGCAGCTCCTGCATTGAGCGTCTGCCCCCTGGTGGTCAGTGTGCATCATAGCAACAGGTCAGATGGGCAGAGGGACAATTAGCATATTGGCCTTTCATATAGATAGATGTCACCCAATAAATGCAATAAAAAGGTAAAAAACCAAAAAAGTCAGCCTTCCACATACAGATATGGAATATCTTCCAAACTGTGGAGTCCACCCTTGTACAACTTGCATTTGAACTGTGCAGGTCATCTGAAAAAACTCCACTTACTAACTGGACCTGCACAGTTCAAACTCATGTTGTTCAAGGGCCTACTGTCTTTCTCCAGAAAAAGCACTTAACGAGCCTTTCCAGAGCCTGTTAGGAAACCAGGATCCTAGGACGACAACCTGCATACACTTTGCACCAAAATTCTTTCTAGTTGTAGAGCAGTGAAGTGCTGGGGTAACCAGTGTGCAAAACAGGAGGCCCTAAGGAGGAGCCTTGGGAGTTAATCAAACAGGGATCCAGGTATGAGGGTATAAGGTGATTGGTTCTGCGCCACTCAAATGATATGCTAACCCACAATGAACAAAGCTACAAGATTTCATTTCAATACCCTCACCTAGATGACGCAAATGCAGTGTTTATTCCCCACACACACTCCTTCTGTGGTGTATGTAGGATCTCACTCTGAGTCTGTGCAACATTTCCCTATTCTGACCTGGGTCACCAGAGCAATAGGAGAAAACAGGCGGTTAGCTATAGGAGGAGTCTACCAAGAAGGGAAAATGTGGTCCCTGTCAAGTGGGATAGCTAATGCTACCTGGGACTCCAGGAGAAAATGTAAGCTTCCCAAAAGGTGGGAATCAGCCCCCACATCTCAGAACCCCATGCCCTAGTCCTTTCTTTGGCCAGTTACCCATAAAATGCTGATCCATCCTTAACCCTCTTCTACCAAGTCTTCTCGAGCCTTATTCAATCCAAGATATGTTCAATCACATGTTCTGCAAGGACCTTACCATTTCCAAAAGTGAATCTGTCTTCCTTTTACCAACACTGTATTAGGTGTACCAGTTAATAATAGTGGATTTTGTAATCAAAGAAAACATGATAATTTCAAGAGAAACATCAAAAGTGCTTTATTCAAAGTAATGTCCATCACTAGCTACACATTTCCCCATCTTTCAGGTAATTTGTGGATACCGTACCAATAGGATTTTTCTTGTTTTGAAGCAAACCATTCCGAGACCCAATTTTCCACTTCTTCGTACGTTTTGAAGTGCTGCTCAGAAAGTACGTGTGCCATCAATCAGAACAGGTGGTAATCTGAAGGAGCAAGGTCTGGTGAATACAGTGGGTGGCTTAATACTTCCCAGGC